AAACAAAAAAAAAAAAAAAAAGAAAAAAAAAGAATGGAACTTCAGGATATCCCACTGTCCAGGTTTCAGAATGGCTATTGGGTAGCACATACATGGTACAGTTCTTAGTACTTTTGCAAGCCTTTAAAAGCAGAACTGATCTTGAAACAAGAACTTAGAGCTCAAATCCAACTGGGTCGATTTGCCTGCTAAAACAAAAATACAAGGATTCTCCATATGCTTCACAACAAAATATTCCTTGTGTGTAGTATAAAGTCTAAAATTACTGGACATAAAAGAACCAAGAAAATTTCAACTCACAGGAAACTCAATCGATGCCAATACCAACATGACACAGATGTTGGAATTATCTGACAGAGACCTTAGATATTATAAAAATAGTGCAAGAAGTGAGGGCAAACATGTTGAAGTTAATTGAATGATAGAATATCTCAGCAAATAGAAGATACGAAGAAGAACTAAATGGAAATGGAAATGGAAATTAATTTAGTTAGGTGTCAATTTTGAATTTGTAGTAGAATTTATTTTATGGAAGAGTCTGGTAATTTAAAGATAGATCAATAAAAATTTCCCAACTGAATAACAGAAAAGATTTAGAAATAAATTCTCAGAAACCCATGGATCAATTATAAAAGTTCTAACCTTGGGGCTCTTGGAGCTTAGCTTAGAAGGAAAGGAGAAAGAAGACAATACAGAAGAAATATTTAAATATGGCTGACTTTTTTGATTTGGCAGATGAAATCAACTAACACATCCAGAGCACTTGGCAAATCCTAAATAGGATAAACCCAAAGAAGTCCATGTCTAAACATATCAACTGCCAACAATTAAAGATAAGTCTTAAACACAGCTAGAAAAACATATTGGTCATAGAGGAATAAGAATTTCTCATCAGAAACCATAGAGACCAAAGAGAAATAAAACATTCTTAAAGTATGGAGAAGAATTGCCAACCCAGAATTCTAGCCAATGAATATTTCACCTTCATTTCTGAAGGTTATTGAGATTGTCTTAGTGAAAACATACTAAGAATTGAACAGATTTTCTTAAAAAGAATTATAAAGGGACATTCTTCAGAAAGGAAATGATATGAGAAATAATATAATATAAATATATATAAATAATATAAATATCAGGAATAAAAGAAGAGTAACATGGGAAATACATGGGTGAATATAGTAAGCTGTTCTCTTAAGTTTTCTAAAATATGTTTTATAGTTGAAAGCAAAATTATGACACTGTGTGATGGGATTCTCAGTGTACTATAACATGTGATGGCTGTAACACAAAAAGAAAACTGAAGGGATCTATGTGCATTGGTAAGATTTCTGCATTACACTTGAAATGGTAAAATGTTATTTTTAAGGAGACTGAAAAATTATGTATATTTAAATCTCTTGAGCAACCACTACAAAATATGTATAAACAAATAGTGAAAAATACATTAAATTAAAATTGAGTAATAAAAAGAAAGAAAAAAACAGGAACAAAAAATAGAGGAAACAATTGGAAAGCCAATAATAAAATGGTAAATCTAAACATAATAAAAATCACATTAAAGGTGAATAGTCTCAACACACCCACATAAAAGAATATGGATGAATTTTGGAGTAAGGCAGGTCTGGCGGGACTCCTGTCTTTGCTGTTTACAGATATCTGGGACCTTGTGTGAGAAACCTTGCCTCTCTGAGCCCTGGTATCCTCATCTTTAAAATAGAGAAGATAATGAAACTTATTCAGGGCTACTGCCAAGACAAAATAAGATAACACACGAGGAGCTCAGCACATCCATTTATTTATAAAGTAGAAGACAGTATTTGCTCCTGTCTGCAGAGTATCTTTGAAAGAAAATATAAGAAACTGGTATTATTTGTCTAGTAGCCTGGGGGACAAGGATAAGAGATTTTTTGACAATTACATATTCACATTCTTTTGTCTACAGTTCCAAAATAAAAAGAGCTCTGAAAATGTGATGTTTCATAAGGTTGGCACTAGAACTTACTGGTGGCAGACCTAACCTGATGTGGCAGGAAACTCTTTGTATCTTTAGCTATCTTATGAAAATGAATATTCTTGTATTTTGCAGAAATATTAGGGTATTGATTGCAGCATGGTCTTGCTTGGAAGTGTTAAAATATGTTGATGAAAGTGTACACTCTCCAAAATAAATTGAAAACCTCTAAGTTCCAAAGCATACTTGGCCTACGACTTGTGTATCCTTTTTCACTCATGAAACTTGAAATTGGGGAATGGTTCACCTTCAGAAAATTGCATTTTAAAAAATCAATCTTTTAAAAAGTAAATTTAATATAAAACTAAATTTGACTTGTCTGGCAAAGCAACCTCTTGGTAAATGGCAGCTGCTGTTTGTCCATTCTTTCTGGCATTTCCTGTCTAGTCTTCTCATGTCCAAAACTTCATTTCACTATCACAGCAGCCCCTGTGAGTGCTACTGTTAAATTTTTCATCTGAAAAAACTCTGAAATACAGAGATTTTATGACAAGCACCTTCCATCCAGCTAAAAATTCCCAAACCCATAGCTGGAACATACTATTGCCTATTAGTCCTGAGACCTCTCGAGTTTTCCGGCCTACCTCCACCATTAGAAGGTTATCTTTTGAATTTCTGTGCCCAGGTGTCATTTGATGTAAGACAAAAGAGACATGCCTAAGGAAGGAACACTGATCAAGGACACCCTCTAGTCCTTTAGTGGGGCCACTTTTGCAGCAGGGACATTCTGCCTCATTGGGCACAGCCTTGCAGTTTACCTCGAGTTAGAATGGATTCTTCTTTCCTTCAGTTGATTACCAATGATGGAGTGGGGCTTAAGTGTAGAGCCCCTGAACAGAAATGATTTTTTAAATCTGTAGAGTCCTTATTTAGTACATCCAAGCTTGCTACTTGGCCAACAAACAGAGCTATGGAGAGAAAGACAGAACCTCTGGGCTCTTTATTTTAAATCAGTTCTAAGTATGTGCATAATGAGTTCCCAAAAGTGTTTATGTGTTGCAGTGAACCTGTTTTGAGAGCCTACAGAATATGCTGTATCTGTATATGTATTTCTGTTTATTCAATACAAATTGTTGATGTGGGCCTTGTAGCTGCCTTTCTAGCCTTTTTGTTCTATTTCCTCTCCCCTCCCTATACAAGCTGGCATCCAAAGAGAAAAGTAGAAATGGCTGCACATTTCAGGAACAGTCAGGCTTTTCACTCCCAGGCATTTTAACAGCCAGGAGAAGGCCCTGTGTCTGCTGCTCTGCCAGGGGCACTTCATGGAGTTTGGTAAAATGCTCACTGCCCTGGGTACCACCTAGACTAGAAACAGTGACTCCTGACTCCATGAACCATGGCTAAAGGATGATAACCTAGGTCAGAAAAACTTTCCTCCCCTTGGCAGCCTGGCCTTGTCCACCTAAATTGCAGTATCTTTTCCATCCCATTAAGTGAAACTGTCTGGAGAAGTGCTTACTTCTGATTTCTTCCCATTTCTCTAATTAATGGCTTCTTACCTGTAAGCTCAGATTAACTGCTGCATATGAGGCTTTCCTGTCTGGCAAGAGCCTGCCTGTGCCCCAGAACTGTCAAGTTTGTGTTGCTTGCCAGGACTCCAAGCAGATTCCAAAGTATATATTTTAAAATATGAAGTCTTTCTTATTTTACTGCATTCGTATCCTTTTTGGAAAATATAAAAAGGAAACCCCCCCAGGAGTGACTGTCACTGTTTATACTTCTAGTGTGTTCTGTCTAGTTTTATTCGTACATACGTGCCCCCACCCTACACATATACCCACATTTTTACAGTTATTTTCCCTAGGCAATTGGTAACACCCCTTTTCTCACGCTTACACTACAGCATAAGCAGTTTCCACATCGGTTTTTAAAGCACTCTTAGACCTTTGTTTCTGTAGTTTTTATGGCTGTATATAGGGATATACTATATTGTATCTGTCTGGTCTCCTTTTGGGCAGATTCCAGTTTCCCCAATAGAAGTCTTTGTAATATATTTTAATTTGATTTCGTTTTCTTTGAAGAAAGCTGCCTAAGCATAAATTAATTGGGTCAGAATAAGAAGGTATATAAGATTTTTTCAAGTAGATTATATCTTACAAGTATAACAGAAAGACTATAGAATTTCTTGTCAGAAAACATGCACTCATGTGTACTCCTTTTAGCTCAGTCATTCTCGGTGAAGGAAAAATCTCTAAGATTCTCCTGTAAAGAATCTAGGCATCCAGCAGGCTAGAGTGAATAAACGATACACAGTGTGCAGTGGTCCAAAACTCCACACAAGTGCTATAATAAGCCCAGAAGCTGAGAATATTGTCCTAGTGCATGTGAGTGACTTCATGCCTATTACTCCACATAGGAGGCATTTAAATCATAGCTTTGTGATTTTGGCTTTGATTTTAGAGTAATATTTTTCTGATGTAAAAATTCTTGGTTCTTTTTACAAAGTTTCAGAACTTGAGGAAGTTATGAATAGAATACAATTTATCTGAAGGCTACCACTGTTAATATTTTTGACTTTCTATAGAACTTGGATTCCCCATGTTTTTAGCTTTTGTTCCACATAATTCCTGTTGTAAGTAATATGGTCAGTGTTGAACTATACGAAGAACCACTGTGAAACACCTTTTGTGTTGTATTCTCATGCAGGTGTCTCCCCTGTCCCCTTACCTGGGAGTGCACTCATGACCTCACAGGCATGAAATGTGGGCCCCTGGGAATGTGGGTGCCCAGCTGCTGTGAGACTTGCAGTAATTATCCCTTGTTTGTTTCAGGTCTGATCCCCTGAGCCCCTTTGCTGTCGGGGGAGAAGACCTAGACCCCTTTGGGTGAGTATTTCTAGAGAAGCTATAGCAACACAATTTACTCTGTGACTTTACCATAGCTCATCTTCTAATTTTAGAGCTTTCGTCAGTCTTCTTTGAGGGTGGAGGAGGCAAGTGTTGATGAGTAGCTAGGAAGTCACTGACAACTTTCTCTCTCTGCCATACCCAGAGCGGTGCAGAGCAGTACTGGGGGGTAGGGAGGCAGGGGGCGCAGGTAGCTCTACTGTCATTTCTCAGTCTCCCATGCCTGGTCAGGGATGGTAGCCTCCCTGGATGGAAGAATATATATAAGGATTTACTGAAGTGCAGGTTAAAGAACACATGGGATGGGGCAACACAGACTCAAGGTGTCTGAGGGTTACCTCACTTCACTAAGATTCTCAGAGCCCTATTAGTCTCTGTGACTCCTGCCATGAAACCAGCAAAGTTATTACACAGCCTTAGCTGTGCCCTCTGATCTCTGAATGATTTCAACTTGTTTTAACCTCTTCTGCAAATTGGACCCAACATTTATCATCTCATTTTTAGCCAGTAAAGAAATCACTTAAATTTCCATTGCATCTCAAATAGTGACCTCACAATTTTAGGAAATAGAACTTGTAAGGGACAGATGCTGTCAGGATCCCAACTTGGGTATCCCAGAGACAGTCTGAAATGGCCCTGTGGCCCTGGGGACAGTGGAAGAACTAACCTGAGTTGTTGCCATGCTGTTGTTAGTCCTTAGGCCTAAGGTAGTGCCCCACAGAGCCAGAGCCTGTGATGGTTCACATTGACTCTGACCATCTCTAGCTCCTTTTCTTGATCAGCTTTCTTCCTTGTATGTAGCACATGGCAGAGATCTCAATTTTGCAGACGTACAGAGCCCTAAAGAACCCAAAGCACAGGCCCTCACCAGTGAAAGCGTTCTTTGCATGCTCTTGTTTTTGCCCTCTTCCTCCTGGCTGTCTGTTTGGACCATCCAGAATAGACTTCCTGGTCATTCTTAATCCTTTCCTGCCTTCCTCACCAATTCTTCAAGAGCAGTCCCTGCCACAGCTGCTGATCCACCTTTTTTCTTGCCTCAGGTTCCGGAGAGGTGGCATGATTGTAGACCCCCTGAGATCTGGCTTCCCAAGAGCACTTATTGACCCATCCTCGGGTCTCCCGAACCGGCTTCCTCCAGGCGCAGTTCCCCCAGGAGCTCGCTTTGACCCCTTTGGACCCATCGGGACCAGCCCCTCTGGGTATGTATACACTCAGGTGGCTGAGAATAGGACTTGATGACGGCTCAACTCACCTTGGCATTGCAGCAGCTAAAGTGTCTGATATCAGGCAGAGTTGCCATTGCCACCACCTGTGACTGCTTAGAAAGAGGAATGTCCTCTGGGCCCTGCCTGCTGCCTCCCTGGAGCCTTCAAGAAGCTCTTTATCCCTCCATTCCACCCTTTCCCCAGTTCCCCTCCAGGGAGGACTCATAGGAGGAGGAAGAACTAGCACAGAATTAAGAATGTGTCAGAAACCCATTCCATCTATGCCAGCAGTTTTTGGGTAAGATGGTGCTGTCCACATCAGATAGAGGTGAAAATTGAGGCCCCAAGCATTAAATGGTGCCAAAGTGTGAAAGTCAGGATTCAAACCCAGACAGTGTGTGGTTATAAACCCCATAGGCTACATGCCTGTGTGCCCTCCCTTCCATCACCCCAGCTCACAACCCCTTTTTCCATTCCAGACCCAACCCAGACCATCTCCCTCCACCGGGTTTCGATGACATGTACCTGTGAAAGCTTCAAGAATGTAACATCCCAGCTTCCTCTCTACTCTTTCACATCTGCCACCACTGGCCCCACCAGCAGCCGTGGTCTTGTAAACTGGGCAAGGGACTCTCCATGTGTTTGCAGGCCAGCTGGGATTGCCTCCTTGCTCCTTCTCCAAAGCAAGGCACCTGCTGCAGCTCCCCACCTGGCTGCACCTACTTCCCAAAGAGAAGTCAGTGTGTGTCTCACCACCAGCTCCTCCCAACTTCTTGCAGGAGACTCTGGCAACATACACCCTCCACCGAGTACAGCCCTAGTTACAGTGCTATAAGAACAAAATGCATTTTGGATGTTATTATTAAGAACCAAATGTCAGTACAAAATTCATGTTGCCGGTTTCCCACTTTTCTTCTTGATTAACACATTGCTCCTTCCAGTTATGGAATTTCATAGTTTCAGTCTTTGTTGGGCTGAATGTTTCTTCTTCTATTCAAGGCCCATTCTGTTTCTCACACCTTCCTTTCATAAGTTGCTGTTGCTCCTGACATCACTTTTTTGAATGGAAATGTGTGACTGGAAATACCATAGGCCACATAGTGACTTTCACCAGAACAGGCACACTGTGGAAGACTGCAGTATTCCAGTGAGGACAAAATACTTGCATTGCTCCTGGTCTGGACCCATCCTCTTAGGACCATCTGTGCCTGGGCAGCCTTGGCCTATAAACAGGGCAGACCTGGAAGCTGACTTCAATTTTGCCTCATAATTTGCTGAGCAACCCTAAGGAAATTGTGAAATAGGAGACGCCTTTCCTGTAGAGTACTCTGGGACCTCTTCCCATGGAAGGCAACACCCCTTAGGACCTGGAACAAGAGGGAAAGAGTGAAAGTTGGGGGCTTTATGTAGTACTTATCTACAGAGTCAGTAACTGTTTCTTGTCCTTGTTGGGGCCTGGACAAGAGCACATTCATCTGAGTGTGGTGTTGAACTTCAGGAGCAGAGTCCGGCCTCTTGTGGATGTGTCCAGTGTCCAGAACCCTCTGGCCTTTGGCATTCTCCAGGTCCTTTGCAGCCTGAGTCTATTACATATGAGCAGTGCTGAGCCCTAGGGCTACAGTGGAGAGAGCACCAGGCCAGAGGCACAAGACTGAAGCACTTGTCAGTCCACGTTTCAACCATGTGTGGGTCCTTTACTGCTCAGCTCCCTGCATTCCTTTCCCCAACTTGGGACATGCCATCTACTTGTAGGCAGCATCAGGCTACTATAGCCATTTTGAGATAACCACTAGGCCAGGTTCTATCTGCCCAGCAGGGCCACGCCTAGGGTGGGTTTGTTGGGAACATTCCCTGGCAGTCCCCTGCAGTAACTGACTCCAGAAACAGGGCTAGCCATCTTGAAGCTTTTCTGGAGAAAGATTCAGAGAATGGGCAAAGATACTAATGCCATCATTACCTGTAATCTTTACCCTCAAAGGATGGCAAAGGGGTAGAATGTTTTTGTTTTGAAATTAGACTTAACCTGTGACCAAAAGGGTATGGAACAATTTGCTCATGAAAACTTCTTTTCTAAGCATTTCAAGGGACATCAGGCTAAATGCTATCAGGAATGGATACAAGAAAAGTAGGTAACTTTTGGGAGTCTGACTCAAGGAAAAGAACATTTAAACAATAAATTTGCCATTTAAATTTCCTAGTATTAAAGGTTAAAAAGATGCATATGTGTAATATGACAAAAAAATACAGTGAATTTTTAAAAAAATTGTTACAGAAAGACATTGCCATTAGTTCCCCTCAGAATACTCCCCTTTGAAAAATTATGGGGATTTGTGTCAGGGAGAAATGAAATAGGAGATTAGGGTGTGGGAAGTAGGTGTGACCTGTTAATTACAAACCTGGAAACCTTGCTCAACAGTTTCTGCAATTCTGCAGCAGGACTTCTCACAAGGTCTCAAGTAGGTTTTCAGTAGGGTGCCTAGACCTGACGTGAGCCTGAGGTGGGTCCCATCGCCACCTCTTGGCATCCATATGTAGACGTTTCACAGGTTTCTTCGAGATCTGAATAGTATGTAAGGACACAGATGCCAAGAAAAACTTGCTATTGTGGCTTTCTTCATGATAGCCCACCCTGCTTTCTCCAGGGTGTTCTTTTCTCTTGCTTTTTTCCTCTTTTACTCTGCCCAAGCTTGCTCTGCAAAGCCAGTTTCTCTTCACTTTTACTTTTTCAAATAAACTTAAAAAATACTTTGGTTCAGATACACTTATCCCATCATTGTCACTTTCTGAAGCAGTTCTGGAAGTTTTCTTGCGTGAGTGTTTTTATGTCCTGAATCAGTTCAAAACATTTACCTTTTATTGTCATTTTGACTTTATGAAAGAGCAAGCAATTACACAGTGCCAGAATGAATAAAGTGGATGAGGACACATTACACTGTTCTTAGCTTGTCTTTATTTAGATGGCACTCAGCAGCGTTCACCATATTTTTTATCTCACTTCATGAAACCACACAAAAGAGAACTTCAGAACTGCTTCAGAGAGTGGCAAGAACCATGGAATGTGTATTCAAAGCAGGGAGGAATATTTTGAGGGGTACTAATGACAGTGTATCTTACTGAATTTTTAAAAAATTTAAACATTCACTGTATATTTTGATCAGCCAGTTACCTTTGCTTTCTGAAAACAGAAAATTCAGTGATTCATCTGCAGAATCGGCCATTATTGGTGTGTCTCCTTGCATCAAGGACACAGGAACTGTGTCCAGGGTGTTAGTGTATGTTGGTGGGGGTGGGGAGCATTGAACAGGACCTTGAGAAACCTAGTCAAGCTGTTGGTACTTGTTTTTGTTTGGGTTGTTTCTCTTCCAGCCATAAGTAAGCAGCAGCAGCATGCAGAAATGTTCCAAGTATGTGTTCTGTAGAACCCCCCCAAATTTAAAACTTAATAAACCTGTCCCTCTTTTTTAAAAAGTTTTATTGAAAGAAAATTCATACATCCATAAAGTTCACCCTTTTATTGTGTACAACTCATTGGGTTGTAATATATTTAGTGTTGTGTGCCCATTACCATATCTAATTCCTGAACATTTTTACCACCCCCAAAAGAAACCCCATATATCCATTAGCAGTCACTTCCATTTTTCCCTCACCCAGACTCGGCAACCCCTAGTCTATCTCTAAAGATTTGCCTATGCTGAACATTCTCATAAATGGAATCACTCAATATGTGGCCTTTGTGTCTGGTTTCTTTCACTTAGCATACTGTTTACAGGATTCATTGATATTACAGCATGTATCTGTACTTCATTCCCTTTTTATGGCCAAATAATCCAACTGGGTATATCATATTTGTTTATCCATTTGTCTTGATGGTTAGTTGGGTCATTTCTACTTTTTGGCTAGTATGAATAATGTTGCTTGTGAATATTCATGTACAAGTTTTTGGACGTTTTCATTTGGGTATATACCGAGGAGTGGACTAGCTGGACCACATGGTAATACAGTTTATATTTCTGAGAAACTGCCAGTGTTTAACCCAGCAGCCACACCATTTCACATTCCCATGTTCCAGTTTCTCTACATCCTTGCTGACTCTTATTAATCTTCATCTTCTTGCTAATACCTATTGGGTATCAAGTCATATTTCATTGTGGTTGTGTCCATTTAAAAAAATCTTTTGACCTAAGCCAAGTAAAGCAGTAACCAGAGCCACTCACACTAGCGGAGTAGATCATGGCTTTGATGGTAGCCATGGCCAGCAAGTCACACAAGGGTTTGACTTGGGGATATGGGCTTGATGTGATACAGGACAGATCCTTTCTCTAGGGAAGTTCCAGTGACCTTTTCAGATGTAGTGAGATTCATTTGCTTGGCTTGAAATTTCATTGTTTATCCAGTGACAAGTAAAATAAAGGTCTAATTATACTTGCCCTTTGCTGAAATGCCTAGACCGCTCATAGTATTCCTGGGATGCACTGGCCTATGTCCCACCTTCCCTTTCATGGCTTCGCTTCTTCCCAATTCTTGAAGCTGGCTGTGTTTCTCATTGTGTTTATCTTCACAGTCATGAACTTCTGTCAGCCTCCATTTTAAGTCACAAGTCTCCTAAGACCTCTACTCAAAGAATGTATTTTGCTCAAAATGGAGGCTGTGTTCCTGTGTCCTGTGGACACGTGGTTGGAAAATGGGTAGCAAATCCCATGTAGCCTCACTCTTTGGAACCCAGATTCTCTTGTGACCTCTCTATCATTAATGACATTTTGTTATTGATCCATGCCTTACTTCATGGGAGGAAAAGTAGAATCTGGTGCAGTTCGTAGTCTCTGCTACGTAATTTGGTCCACTTTTGTGCAGTTCCAATATAGGCAGGTCTCACCACCAAAGAATTTCCCACATACATATCCCCAGCTTTCTGTTCCCTAAACCTTGCATGCTTGGTGGCCACTGTTGACCTTTTGTTTCAAAGGAGAGTTTCAAAGACAGGGATCTCAGCTCCATCCTTCTTTGACACACTTCACTCCAGCTATGCTTGGACCTGAATCTGCCCCTGAAGGTGGATCAAAAGGCAAAGGTGGTTTTGTTGATGTGAGGGGTAGTGAGGGCAGAGCCTAGGATGCAAGAAGCACCAGTTCCAGGAAGTCTTTAATACTCACCACTAGGGGCGGTGCTGGTGGGTATGCAAAATAAAAAGTCAGGCCTGGCATAGAGGTTCATGAGGCTGGCAGCTCAGTGTAACAGGATGCTAAGTGGCCAGGTAGTGGCTGTGTTCCAGATGAGCACATACTGTATGTGCGATGAGTCACAGTATGATGGGGTCAGAGGAATGAAGGAGTGGGTGGTTCCTGCTGATGTATTAGTTCTGGGATTCACTCATTGTAAACATTTTAGCCAAAAGTTAGGGTCCACAGAATAGTGTGATCATGTCATTGCCATTATCTGGGGAATAGGAACTCTGGGTTACAGAGCAGCTGCACACATGTGCACCAGAAAGTGGATGCCCTTCATACTGCCATCTTGACCTTTGACTCAGGTCTAAGTCCAAGGCCCAGTTAAATGCATTTGATCACCTCTCAAACCCTAAAGCAAGGGATCCTGGGAAAATGTCCTTGTTCTCTTTCCCACCCTTGTTCTCAGGATGGTATATTGGGACAGTGGTCTGGTAGGCCAGTCTGTGTCTGTATCATGGTCCACAATACAGGTGGGTACCACACCTGTACTTGCCCAAGCCTTTCTTCAGATGCTTGCTCTAAGTACACATTAGCACATCTTGGACCCCAATCTACAACCACAAACAGTCTTCAGATCGGTTTTTTTATGAGTTCCTCTTGTGATTCATAGGCTCATGCAAGTGTGCGAATTCAGAAGGGAAGACTGCATGCTTGTGAGTGAGATCATGAGTGGCAGCAGCACCACCTGGGACCTTGTTAGAAACACAGACTATCAGGCCCCATCCCCAGTATATTGAAAGAGAATCTGTACTTCAGCAAATTCTCCGTGAGATTCCTGTTAAAAGTTTGAGAAACTTTGTCCTTTTCCTTCACCTGGATATCAGAGGCAGATAAGCCCATCAAGTCTCCTTGATTGGTGGCACATATGATTAGTGCATGCAAGAACCCTCTCATTTTAAGATTTCCCTGATTGAACTCCCAGCATCTACTCCATTCCCTTACCTCTGGGGACCACTCGTGTCTTGTGTGTGTCTTTAAATATACATTGTCTCTTCAAATCATAACAATAACGAGATATTACCTGTATTTTTTTACCAGAAAGTTTGGAAAGATCTGATAATTTGCTCAAAGTCAGGCAGGCATGGGTGTGACTCTGAGCACTCCTTTGCCAGTATGTGGCCTTCACCTGTAAAATGACTATCACCTCTGTCTACAGGATTGGTGCAGGCTCCCACCAAACAGTGGGACTTAATATCAGGCAATGGAGGGCTCAGTGGGTTCCAGCTGCTATTATTACTGACTTCTATTACTGAGGTAAGGATGGGGCTCAAGGAGAGGAGACTTGGGCCAACCTCAGTGCAGGAAATAAGCATTTACCTGGTGGCCACAGTGTGCTGGCTTTTTATGTAGTCCGCCTCACAAACTCAAGATAAACACTGCTGGCCAACTTACTCAAGGTGCTGAACATACCCCCCCACTAAAGTATTAGAACTGGGTCAGTTTCTTGAGAAATAAATGCTTTCACACCCTGGTCCAATGAGGACCATGAGTTACTAGGCAAAACCTATGCCAGAAGCTGGAAAATGAATCAGGACTTGTGCAAGAAAGGAAAGGTGCTGAATAGACCCCAAGATGGTCTTAGACTCCGAAGTTGATCCTATTTATAGTGTGTCACATTCTGGAGCACTTCTGCTTGCAGCCTTCAGGTAAGGAGCACTTGAAACCACTCAGCAGACCTCCATTTTGCAGGGAAAGAAACAGATCCAGGAAACCCTCTATGAGAGTGAACTCCTGAGAGGATAGTTTGGGCCCTATGGTTGGGGTGCAGTGCCCTGTTACCTGGGCCCCTGTGCCGTTCACCTTGGCTTTCTGAGTAAGCAGGATGAGCTACTCTTTCCCACTGAACCAGTGAAAGAGCAAGCCCAAGCAGATTAGTGAGTGACTTTACCAGGGCAACACAAGCCATAAATCTTGGCTTTAAGTTCCAAGGCTTTCCCACTGATCAGTGACCAAAACAGTAATGGAGGCTCTAAGTGACAAAAATGAAGACCCCCTTCCCTTCCAGCTCCCTGTTCCCTCAGGCTGTTAGGAAAGCAGCATGCTGGTTCAGCACCCTGGTCAGCGCTCACCCCCTGTGATGCCTCACCCAGGAGGGTTTAACCAGACTGCTGGTTCCAATTCAGGATGGCCCACTCTGACAAGAATCCCAGAGTAGAAAGGACATAGGTGTCCTGCCTCCAATTCAAAGCCCTGCTCTTTCCCCTCCCTTCAGACAGTGGCAGTTTCATCCTTCAAGCTGCTTGGTTCCCAGAATGTAAATTCAAGGGAGAAATCATTGAGAGCAATGGGCAAGAGGCCTGCGCCATGTTACCCATGGCAAGTCTTTAGCTCTCCTCTCTAAAGTAGGCGTAAGGGTGGACCTGACTGTCTGAGATCCTGCCCATCTTGTGAGACTCCATGAACTGCTTCAATTTCCACAGAATGGAGTGGAGACTCCACTGTTGAGCTCTCCACACAGTTCCCAATTCATAGGCAAGTCATGGGCCTCAAAGTGGCAGCCCACAGCCCAGATCTGCCACAATTATGCTCCAACTGGCCTGCATGTTACTAAACTTGCTAACACATATAATGGCATATTATTAAATTTGAGTCTTGACTGCTCTTCACCAGTTGTATGACCTTTGACAAGTCACTTAACCTGCCCATGCCAAAGCTTCATCTGTAAAATGGGTAATGATAGGAACTTCTTTCTAGGGTTATGGTGAGTTTTAAATGAGCTAGCAAATGTAAAGGCACAGGGTCTGATATCCAGAGAACACTATATATTGTTTTTTTAAATGATCTAAAGTTGACCTAGTTCATTGCAATGTAGAAACATGAGATGTTTTTATCTAGTGGATCTCTATTAAATCCACCTTTCTCATCTCAACAGCTAAGGCTGAGCCAGTAACAAGCTTGTCAGTTTGATTTCAAACTCAGTTTTGGTCAGTTAAAACTTTCTGATTCATACCCAGTCCGAAGGAGTCTACCCTAGCCTCTTCTGGGCTCTTCCTCCTCCAGGGTGTGGATGGGGAGGAGGAAGGAGAAAGGCCAAATGTCTTTGCTGGCCTTTTATGATGATGGGGGTGAGGATAGATGGGTTTACTCTTATTCATACTAGGTTTTGGGGGGTTGTTTGACACTGGGTCTCTACTGGGTTCTACACACAACTGGTAAGAGCTTCATCCTGGACCCTCAGAGACTGTCACAGTCTCTGTCCAGTCCACTAGAGGATTAGAGTCTCTCTGCTATGCTGCAGTCATGAATACCACTCCACAGCCTCCTCTGTCTTTCCTACATCAATAGTTGGATCCCCTAAAACACCAGCGTCCTCCACCTATCTTCTCAGGCCTCAAACAGTGGGAGGAAGAACAGGACTTCCTCATCCCTCCTCCCCAATACCACCATCCTTTCAAGCTAGCATAGGTGGTCTCCATGGGCCTCCCACCCCAAGAATTCTCCAGATCAGAAAGGGACCTGGATTCCCTGTTCACAAACACCTCTGATCTTCACAAGTCAAGCCTCTCGGGAGTATTCTTGTATTTTTACCTGTTCAGTGCTAAATTTCTGAACCCTGACTCTGAGTAGCTGCTTGAATCTTCATTAGAGAAATGAAGGATACTTGGATGGTCAACTCTCAAGTGATCTCATAGCTCAGCAGCTTTCTAGCTAGGATGCAAGAGGCCAGTCCCCTTCTTGGGGGTGTCCTCATGTCTATGAGTGATTAAGCTCTGGATGAGAGGAGAGCTGCAGATGTCTGACCTGGCAGGTGGCATCTCTCTGGGCCCTCCTTTGACCTCAGCCACTCCTCAGGCAGGGGATAATCCCTTTCAGGATCTCTGTACCCACACCAAGTCCAGCTGTTTGGCTGCTCTTGAAAAACTACAGCCTGTAACCACAGGGCAACAGCCATCCAGAAACAGCAGGCACCCCCTTTAATCCTGCCACTGCCTTCCACAGCCACCACTGTGTTCACTGATGTCACCTGCTGAGCCCTGCAGGCATTTGCACTTGGGCCTCTGCTTTCTTCTCTGATAGGAGAATGTGAGGACTCCTAGGAGAGCTTACCTCCAGGTGGCTAACCCCCATAAATAGCTTCAAGGAAAGGAGATAAGGACATAGGGGAATCAAAAAGAGAAGGAAAGGAAGGGATCAGAAGAAAGAAAAGATGGGAGGGAGAGATGGTGTTTGCTAAATGTCACTGGCCCTAAGTCAGGACTTGCTCACACTGAGCTGCCTGAAAAGAGTTTGGCATGACAGCCTCCTTTCCTAGCCTCTCTCCATGATCGCATAGACACACAACCCCTGGGCATCACCCTTCCCAGCCACACCACTGCCACTTCTCCAGATAGCCTGGACACCCCAAGGGCAAGAGCTGTGTGCCCACAGTGCCTGGGCCACAATCTAGACCAGGTGTGAATGAATGAGGCAACATTTACCAAGCAATTAGGAAGCATCAGGACCCGTGCTCAGTGCTTAACAGGCTCATCTCCAGTTTAACAAGGAAGGTGCTGTTATTAGCAATGCCATTTACAGATAAGGAAATGGGCTAAGAGGCATGAAGCACCTTCAAGCACATCCCTGGAGGCAGTGGCTCACACTCATCTGATGAACAATCACAGAGCCCAATCCATGGAGCTCTGCCTCCCATCCCTCTTAGCTTTGACTAGGGGGAAAGCACAGAAGCTGTTGGCTTCCTGGGAGGGGACAATCCTGGTACCCTCTGAACTATGAGGTGCCCTGGTGCTGCCCATCTGTTTGTGAACAACTCAGTCCTCAAAGAGGAAGAATCTGGGGGAAAGGATGTTTGTGAAAAAGAAAAAAAAAATACAACAGGGCCGGAGTTCTCACTGTCTTTCCAGGCTGTGGTCACTGGGGCATTAGCTCCCCAAAGAAGAGGTTTGGAAATTTAGAACCCTCTTGGCTGAATCCAAATCTAATCCAACTCTACTATACTCCATTACTAAAAGTACCCAACACCTGACCAATAAATGCTAACATGCCTCCACTGACAAGGAGCTCCTTACCACTCTGAAGCACACAAGATCTCAACATCTTCTCTTTCCTCTGGCTGAATCTACTTCCTGGGGAGGGGAGGAGTAGAGGGTGTCTGCTTTCAAGAAGAAACCAACAGGTCCAGCATGAGGGTGTCTCCCTGCCTTTGCAGTGCCTCTGACACCCTACTTTACTCCTGACAGAACCCCCCTGTAGATTCTTTCTAATGCCCCCTTCCTCCTCCTATCCAGACATGAGGCACCATTCTGTCAATGTTGGCAAGCCCTCTGGAAGTAGGAAGGTTTCCAGTTTTCCTCTGGAAGACCAGAGAGGTAGATCCATTTACCCAAAGGCCCACAGAAAATGAGTGACCACCAGGATCTGGTTTGCCTGGTTCCCAGCTCAGGACTACAGTCCCTTCCTGAGATGCTAAGGTGGAAACCCTCCTGGACATCCCTCCTCCTGGCGCTAAGGAGGGAGTGGGAAGGGTAGACAATCTCCTGGCTTGGGGAGGAGACAAGAGGCTGCTGCTGTGAGGTCAGCATGCTGGGAATTGCATGGCCCATGGACGAGAAAAAGAAAACATCATCAGTCATCCAGAGGATCCCCTGGCTTGGTGCCACTTCCCCAGGGTGTCTGTCCTTGGCTTCTGAGCAAGCTATGTGTGTGTGGAGAGGGTGTGTGCATGCAAGGATATGCATCAAAGTGTGTCCGTATGCATGAGTGCAGGCCTGGGCAAATGTGTATGCACAGGGAGGAGGACATGCTGCAGGGAAAAGCAATGCTTTTCCCAAGAGGGAGCAATATTGGTGAGGTCTTAGGTAGCAGACACTGTCATCAGATAGACTCACAGGATGCCTGCAGAAAAAGCAAGTAGAGGTAACAATAGGCACTGGGGTTCCAAAAGTCCAGGCTTGGTGCTTCAAGCCCTCAGATCAGGGAGAGTCAGGCTCCTAAGCACTCAACAGCTGTCTCCCAGGTCTAGCTGGCACCTAGCTGCATCCTGACAAGTCTGGGAAGAGGGCTCTTCCCTCATTAGGGAGATACCTCTAGCTCCTCTACATAATTATGTACCAAGGCCCAGGGAGATGAGGGCAAATGGGCTGCAGCCACAGGGCCCAGGAACGAAATAGGTCCCTTAGCACCGCCTGGCATATGACCTTCTATATTACTAATTCCTAGCCTAGGCCAGGGTTCTAGGAGGACAACTCAGTCTCCAAGCAGGGACTGTGAGGCTCCAAGACCTTGAATAAGACCCAGCTGCCCTGGAAGCCGTAAGAAACTAGTTGCATTCATTCACTCATCAAAAAAAAACAAAAACAAACAATAACAAAAAACCCTACATTGTATCAACCACTGTTTCTTGAACTAGGAGAGCAGTTTGAACCAGTGAGACCAAATGGGCAGCCCTAATTGAGCTTACAATCCAATGGGGGAGGCAGTGGGAAAGACAGACAATAAGTAAGTAAAGGGGACCAGGGATTTCACTCAGTGGTTTTGCCACCTGCTTCACAAATGCAAGGTCCCAAGTTTGATCCCCGATACAAAAAAAAGTAAAGGACACAGCTTGCTGTAGTGATTAGTAGGTAAGGAGAAGAGGGAGTGAAGTTGAGGGTGTGACTTTAATAGAGTGGCCAGCAAAGGCTTCAGTAAGGTGATGTTTGAATAAAGCCCCAAGAAGGTGAGGGAGTAGCCTTACAGATAGCAAGGGGATGAGACTTCTGGATGGAGAAAGTAGCTTGTGCAAAGGCCTTGACGTTGGAGTATTGTCTGGCAAGGTTGAAGAATGGCAGAGTGTGAGTGTGGCTGGAGCAGAATGAGTGTGGGACCAGACGTAGGAAATGAAGCCAGAGAGGCTCAGGAGGCAGAAAGCACAGGGCACTGTTGGCCACTGTGAGGGGTGGACCCAGATTTGGGGAAAACCTAAAGCTTAAGAAATCTGGGGGAAATCCTTAAAAATGAAGTAGGATTGCAAATACCTGAATACTCAGTACTACAAAAGGAGTTTGAGGGGTCCAGACAGTTTTGCTGTAAGTCCACCTCTGGCTACAATGAGAATGTAGCTTTTCCTTGGAATGAGCAGGACATTCAGGAGAGTTTTGAGCAGATGAGCAACATGACCTGTCCTCTCAACAGGCTTGGAGAGCAGAGGATAAACTGGGGACAGGAGCTGGGCAGGAAGAAAGTCAGGATACCAGTGAGAGACCTAGCCAGGCAGTAGTAGGCATGGGATTCTGAGAACACACCTGACAAGATCTGTGGGTGAGTCAGATGTGAGAGCTGTGAGGAGAGGTGGAAGGGCTCACCCTGAACTTCAGGCCTAATCAGGTTAGCCCAACTGAGGTGGGAGGGAGAATACCACCTTCCTGAGTGAGTTTTCATTAATCTACAAAGAAACCCAAATTCAAAAGAGGCAGAGTAACCTGCCCCAGGTCACAAAGCCAGTAAATGGCAGAGTCTGATTCAAACCCAACTCCGAAATCAGTATCTGTTCAGATACATTGGGAAAAGCCTGGGTTTGGGGCCCTAGTAGCAGCTCCCAAGTGTGAGGCATGTTCTAGTAGCCACAGGAGCACTCAGGACAGCTCCATACCTAACTCCAAAGAACTCTACATACAAAGAAAGTTCTCAGTGCTCCTTTCTTTTCCTGGACTCCTTCATAAAACCTGTTTCTTATCCACCAGCTGGGAGATCTCAGCTGCACTCTTTGAAAAATGTTTTTGGCATCTCTCAAGTTTTGTTAATTCATTGACAAGATAATGACTGCCTTGATCCATTACACACATTTTCTAAAGGAGTTTCTACATTAGAGTGCAAAGCAGGCCTTTCTGGCTTGGAGAAAACCCGAGATTCCTGGGGTTGAATCTCCTCACAAATTTATCCCCTAAATACATTTCATTGCATTTAAACTAATAAGAATTGATGGTCCCAGATACACTCTCTCAACAGGTTTAGTATCCAAATAAGTTTCCCACCATCACAGTAATCCAAATGGCTCAGATTGATATCTTTATTATCATCATCATGGACTCGAAAAGCCTTGGCCCATCATTTGAGATGCTCAGTTTCCCTGGAGTTCACCTAGAAGGGCTCATGCCATCTCTGCTGCTGTCTTTGCTTGGAGCCTGCAAGAACTGCACACATCTACCATCTAGAAACCCAGGACCTGTGCATCATTCACCATCTTGGGCTTTGTTCTTTTCTAGCCACACCCTTTTCACACCACAACAGAACCCAGGAGGCCAAACTAAACAATTTCAGTCCCTTCAGCCCTCCCCCAGCTCTGCTCCCAACAAAAACTGCCAGCAGGAACAGATATTTGATCTGTCTCAGAAGCTGTGAGCCCAGATGTTCAGCTCAGTGGATTGAAGACTCATGTTACGGTAATGACAGCCTACAGTCCCTATTTACCCCCAGACTCCCACCCTAGAGACAGTTACAATCCATTCCCATGTGGAGAACCTTAAGGAAATTAGTGGACCTTCTTAGAGGCAAAATCTCACTGAAATTGGTCCTTCAGAGTCTTCATACTAATGCCCTAGAAGGCACACACTCTGGAAACCCTCCAGGGCTGCCTGGACTTGACAATGCCTCCCCCAAATGCCCAAATGCCTGCATGTCCTTCCCACCAGGAACCTTCCTTGTCAGAAGGTGAAAGAGAGTTTGGAAGGAGCCTGGAAACATTCCATAAAAGAGAACAAATGGTAATCAACTCAGCCAGAGTGTCCAGGCCACCTCAATATACCTGATTTCTCCCAAATAAATTGTGGCTGCACTTTACTACTAAGAGGGGAAGCAGGAAGCTACAAATGCGGTGTTTTAAAAGTTGGTTGTTTTCTTTCTTTCTTTCTCTTTCTCTCTCTCTTCCTTTCTTTCTTTTTTCTTTTTTTTTCTTTCTGCTAGCAGAATGAGGTCAGGCCCAAGAGACATACTATTGAGTGGGGGAAGATGATAAAGGCCTGTGTCACACCCACAAAAATACAACACAGTCCTCAAATACAACAAAGTGCTCATACTTTCTTGTAGAAAAGATCTTTCATGCCCAGAGGATGGTGAAAACTGTGCACCTAACTCCATAAAATATGCCACTGCAGAAAATCAGTCACTGCCAGAAATTAGATCTTAAAGCCAAAACCAGGCTGTGGCAAATGAATATAATTCATCCAGCCAAGCTGTTTAGAAGGACCATATGAGCAGCTGGCTTCCTCACAGTGGTGGTCACCAAGGTTGGGCCAGAAAATGGCATGAAGAATGATCAGTGTGTAGCAAATACCTCTTCTTTTGAAGGGGGCGGCCACAGGTGGAGACTGGATTCCCATTACCAGGGCAGAACCAGCTTGAGAAGTCATCAGTCCAACCCTCCTGCTTGACAGAGAAGAGCAACTAAGGCTTGAAGAGGGGAAGGTTTCAGTTCAGTCAGTGGGGTGCCACAGGTCATCCCAGTGCTGGCCTTTCCCTGACTATGAAGCTACTTACCAACTTGGATGGTCAGGGCAGAAGGGTACCCACCTAAAACCATCACTTAGCCAATGAGGATCAGAGGTCCTGGAATTCCCGATGGCAGGAGGAACAGGATAGACAATCTTTCAAATGGCTCTCAATACTCAGAAATGCCAAGAACCTCATCTTCTAAGAGCAGCGGTTTCCAAACTTTGTATTTTTAGCAGCAGAAGCCATCTTCCAAACAAAACCTTATGCAAAACCTCAAGCTATAAAACAGATCAGCAGGCGCTTGCCTGAGTGGGGCCTGGGCCAAGCCCCAGGCTCCCCCTCCAGCACCCTAGACTCCTTCCACTGGGCCCTGTGTGGAGCTGTTTTAAACCCCAGGCATTTCTGGGGGCCTCAGAGCCCTGGAGCTAGTGCATCCAGATAGAGTGGGATTTTACTTAAGACCCCTGGAGGGTATGGCTGGCCTCCGGGACCTGGATAACTTCATTTTCCACCAGTGCTTGGCCCCTATCCCCATTTAGCTGTCTCATGCGCAGGTTAATGGAGCCGTAGGTCTTCCTGGGGCCTCTGCCAGGGACAAAGTTCCTCCTGCGGTACAACTCGCCCTTGCACAAGGAGATCATGAGCAGCACTGACAAGAGCATGCCTCCCACTGTGAGCAGCCCCAGGCCTGCAATGATGCACTTGTCCAGGTGGGAGCCCAAGCGCGCATAGTACATCTCTAGTTGCTCCATCTCTCTTGCGGTCACTGTGTCTGGGTTGACTTGGGCCTCACGAGGGATTGCATATGCTGTCACCACCAGGAGGATCCCACTCACCAGGAAAACCAGAGCAGAAACGAAGCCATAATCCACAGGGCGACTCACGGGCTCCAGACCTGGCCCTTCCTCTGAACACAGGGACAGATCATCCCGCTGGGACCGGGGCAGTGAGGGGACACTCCCCAGGGGACTGGGGGAGTTGCCCAGTCTGGCATCCCCAGGGTTCTGGAAATGAGTCTCATGCTCCTCTGAGAAAAAACAGGCATTCTCCACACCGGCCCTGGGTGGGGCCACTGGGCCCAGAGGAGCCGGTCTCCTTGGAACTTGAGGACCATTGCTCAGTGTCTTCAGTTCCAGACCAGGGGGAGATGCCATTGAGAAGGAGGACCCCAGCTCATCCCTTGGCCCCTTGGCAGCTAGAAGAGAAAACAGAAAGCCAGTTGAATTGGACAAACCTCTACCAAGTACTGCTGGGGATGAACATTGCATTTGTCCCTGGGCACACTTGCACCCTGGAGTGTGATGCATGCGAGGCTGTAGCTCCACCACTGATTGGCATATAGTTTTGGGCAATCCATTTATCCTCTTTGGGCCTCAGTTTCCCCATATATAAATTACAGTGATACCACTACTTCCTATTACACAAAGCTGATACAGGGATTGTGACAACCTCTATAGCGTTTCCAGCAGAGTAAGTGTCCAGTAAGTATTAGTGGCAAGCTATTATTATGATGGAGGAATTTGGATAGAGTGGCTGTTAGGTTCAAATCCCAGCTTCCCCACTTGAGCTTAGGTAAGCGATGGGAGCTGCTATTTAGACTCAGTATTCTCATCTGTAAAACAATGAATAAACAAAATGCCTTCCTCATGTGGTTGTTGTAAAAATTTCATAAATTAATGTACAAGGCCCTGACCAGTTAAACTAATGGACGCCACTGTATGAGGAGAGAATGATGTGGTGGGGAAAGAGAATGGTGTTAGAGATAACTAAGGTGTTGTGGAAACGAAGAGAAAGCAGGGGAGCTTCTGGGAGCTGATAGTCATTTGAGCCAGACCTCAGAATAGTGGGAAATTCCCCAGCAGTGAAGGGGATGAGGGTTTCCTGGACGGGCAAGGGGTAGACTCCAAGACTGGCTGGAGTCAGCTCACAAAGGACTTGGATAGCCAGGCATTACAGTAAAAAGTGTGGGGATCTCTCTGGGTCAGAAAGCAGGACAGATGGTTTAGACGGGATCGAATGGGAACGAGGTCCAGAAAAGAAGCCAACGGGTTGGTGTGGCCTGGTAGATTAGGCTACTGGGAAAGGGCAGTCTGAGGTCAAAGCCACATGCTTTTATGTAAACAGAGGGTCCCAGGCCTGGACCTGAAGGGCTGGGAGAGGAGTGAGAAGAGGGTACTCTGTGCTGCAAAGCAGATCTCTTCCACCCAGTACTTGTACCTACACCACAGAGAATGTATGTGACTTGCCATCAGAGGGCACTGACTCAAGTCCACGGGCCAGACTTGCCCCCAACAAGCTTTATTTTGTTTCTGGCCTGTTCATTTGTTTTTAGTGTATTCATAGCCAATATATACATAGCAAAAGATTTTACAATTTAAACTTGCAATCCCTGGCTTCTCTTATTAAACGGAAGAATCTGATCACACTGGGTTCCCTTCCCCTCCCAACACTCAACAGGACTTGACCATCTCGGCTTCCCTTAAACAGGTCTAGACTCTTCCCTACTGCCCCACTTCATGCCCCACTACTGGCCCAAGTCAATCTTGCTCCTACACCAGAACCATAAACACTCTGATACCCTGAAGGCTCATACGACCTAGGCTCCAGGCACAGGAATACAAGAGTCCCATACACACCTGCACACCCCAGCACAGAAACTTTCAGGTGCAGAAAGGCTTCCATGCTCTGGTGCTCTAATGTTTATACTCACATGTGGATTCTGTGCATACTCTAGAGCTCTGTGGCTCTGTGTGTGTGTGTGTGTGTGTGTGTGTGTGTGTGTGTGTAGCTGAATATGAGCACATGAGTAAATGAATGAATGAATGAAACTCCAAAAGGCTTAAGGCAAGTAGGCATATTTTCCAATCTTTCTGAACTTCCTTACAATATGAATTTGCAGCAGACATCTCTTAACACACATAGGGCCTTTCACCTGAACACAAGACTTTTTTCTGTCACGACATCCCCCTTTCCAGAGTTCCCATATAATAAATATGCCCTGAGGACCTACTACCTGCTGGGCCCTGTTTGGGCACCTCAGTCAGGAATATCCTGTATAACCCTCACCAGCCCCATGATGTCAGGAACCATGATGTGTTTTATAAAACAGAGCCAAAGCCGGGCACAGTGGCGCACACCTGTAATCCCAGCATGCGGGAGGCTGAGGCAGGAGGATCGCTGTGAGTTCTAGACCAGCCTGGGCTACATAGTGAGTTCCAGGTCAGTCTCAACTACATAGTGAGACCCTGTCTCAAAAAAACCAAAAAAAAAAAAAATAAATAAATAAATAAAAATAAAACAGAGCCAAGATCCCATGGCATGGATGTGGGGGGCAGGAGTTCTCTAAGAATTACTAGCTCCTACAAACCTTCAAACCCACACACACCTGTGCTCCTCCAGTCTTAGGAGCTGGAAGATGCCTGAATTCCGCTTAGGTGCCCAGCCCCCTGCCCAGACTTCTCATTTCTCACTGACCAGACAGGAAAGTGGAGGGTGCTGGTTGGCTTTTCACTCTTAGGACCTCAAGTCAAAAACAGGGTATAGCAGTGGGTGCTACTGGGGCAATGAGATGTGTCACTCCCACCAGGCCCTTGGCACACTCCACAGAACACAGCTCCTAGTGCAGACCCCTTCCCCTTGAAACACTGAGGCCTCCGTATCCCAGAGCAGATCTAGGGTACGTGAATTCTTGGAGGGGGAGCTCTCCTTCACCCTACAGAATCCAAAACTTTTTCCTTAGAATGCCTGAATGAGGGGTCAAAGAAAAAGGAGCTCTCCCCACTCCACAATTAGAATGTTTCCCTGCCAAGGGTTCCCATGCCCACCAGTTCTACAAGACCATGCCCATCAATTACCCAAGAATAAGCAGAGACAAAGTGGCACAGATGCCCCTGCCCACTGTTCACACCCCATAACTGTATCAGTTACTCCAATTCCATCTGAGGGAGCAGGTCCTGAAAGACATGCTCCAGTACCTCAGTTCAACTTTCCCCCCCCCCCCGTTTCCCCAGCACTATCCACAGACTGGGGAAGCCAGCAGTGTGCCACTCTGATAACCAGGAGAGGGTAGTACTGGTTAGAGAGAGATGAGGCGGGAAGAGAATAAATTACCCCAGGACTGCTAAGATCCGAGCCAGATCCACCTAGCCCCGCCAAGGCCCAACACCCCACCCATGGCGCACACTGGCACCTGGGGAGACAACGGACGCGCAGCGAGGACGGATGAAGCCTCACAAACCCAATCGATAGACACACGCACGAGTTTGTACACAAAGCCTCGGGGCGCACAGAAACGCACGGGCAGTTCCACGCTGTCAAATCCAAAGTTCTGCG